TTACAAATTATTCAGAATTTTGAATGCATTTTAAGAATACTTTTCCCATAAACTGGTCAAAATGCACAACACCGCCGTATGCTGCATGAAAGATGCGTGCGCACTCTGATGTAAACAAGCGCGGACGAGAAGCACATGGCGGAACATGTGAGAGACGCTCTGGATGAAAGCGCACTTTCACTCTCTGACAGCAGATGGCGCTAAACTGCAGAAATAATAATAATAATAATAGTAATAATAATAATTCATTTAAATGCAGCCGTTACCCCGGAAACCCTGTAAACAAAGCAGCTGCACTACTTTCTGTTTCTGAATCGTGTTTAAATGATTTAAACAGCCATTCAGATTTGTGTATTTGCTATGATGTTCATCACAGCGCCAAATACTTACATATTTAGACTTAATAGGCTATTTATTTTCAAACTTTTTTTACATTTTAATCTGGACTACAACATGCCCTAGCTATTGTTTGAAAGTGTTTTGATTCTTTATTGTTCGGTCACACTTTACATTAGGGCTTCATTAGTTAACATTAGTTAATTCATTAGTTAACATAAACTGCCAATGAAAAATTCTTCTGAACATTCATTAATCTTAGGTATTCGAATATTTAATAACATGTTGTTAAAATGCATGAACTAAGACTTGTATTTTTTAAACAAGGATTAATAACTTCTGTAGCAAATGTAGCTTTTGCTCTTTGTGAATGTTAATGCATTAACTAAGGTTAACTAATGAGGTCTTATTGTAAAGTGATACCTATTGGTCTTTATAGTTCTTTTGCACTTTAATCTGTGTAAAACTTTTAACTTTGTACATTTTTCTGTATTGCTTTATTGCATTTAAATGTTCAGTTATTTTTGTTATGAGAAAAAAGTTATTAAACCTATTATACTGTATTATGACAGCACTTTTTTTTAAACTTAATTTCAATACCGTGATAATACCGTATACCGTAATAAAAGCATTAGCAATTAATCGCAACATGAAAATTTGATACGGGCATATCCCTATAGCCAACATAACTTATTTGATTGCACCTACCGACAAGCTTTGTTTGTTCTTCCAATTTTAATTTGTAAGAAACAGTACCAACTAGGGCACCATGATTCCCATCAAAACTTCAAATCAAGCTAATTTTTTTGTATCAGTTTAACCATATAATTGGACAATCATTGTCTGTGCTTGAACTAACTGACTTTTCAATCAGTTTACCCATTTATTCCTCTATTTATTTAATGGTTTATTAATGACAGGCCCTGTATAACACACCCTATGCTCGTCTAGTTTGAACTTGTTCATTCGTCTGGGTTAAAAGTTTGGAGTTTTTTGAACAAATAAAACATTTCAACTCAAATCAATATTTTGTGTCCAATTACTTATTTGGGAAGTAGCTGTGTATTAAGCGGGATAATGTATATCCAGCCAGTTGTTATCGCAAAATAAACCTCTTTAGGGTGATTTGCTTCCTTACTTAAAGGAAGCAAAAGTGTTTAAAACAATGAAACAATAAATGTGCTGTTTAAAGTATTAGGACACTTTCTGGTCGCCAAACTTGATGAATGGTGTTAACTTCAGGGGAACTGACTTGTCACTAATAATCACTAAAATCAACTGGGACTACTCAGTGAAAAGGAAGGTTAGATCTGAGAAATGGGTTTGGCCACTTGGGTTTGGCATTCCGTTAGTGGCATTTAGACATTTTTTGTTGAATTAAGTGTCCAAATACGTTTGGAGCCAATGAATGGTGAACGAGACGAGAAGCTGTCTGGTTCGTACTCAAGGAGAAGAGCTTACTCTGCAACAAAGACAAAGACTGGCACGTCCTCTTTCTCAAGCAGCATCTATCTGCCAGCCTCTAGTTCTGTAAAGTCTGGGAGTCACTCCACTAATATCATGATTTCACATAAGCCACTCACAACTACACTAAATTGCTTTTACACACTGCAACACATAAGTTTCTGAAATTTTACAGTGCTAACAATGCTATCCTTCACTGGAACGGGGCCCCGCTAGGATTTAGCACTGCTGTATTACAAACAATATTATGTAACCTACAGTAAATGACCTCAAACAAAAACTCTGCCCTCTCTTTCAAACGTCTGGCATTAGCAATTACAGCTCAGCACCGATTCGCCCCTTGATTTTTCAAGGAAATAAATTACCTCACTGGGATTCTATCATTGCATAATCTGATTCTGCTTAGAAATCCCTTTATTAGCGCCAATTAGGCTGAAATTACATTAACAGGGAAGTACATACAAGATACGCAGTCATGCAGGGGTGAATAAGAAAAGAAAAGCAGCCTGACTTGAGAAAGCAAAATAGAATTATGTCTTCTGACAGTTTGCTTTAGGTTTAATCCTCCCTAATCAAATGCTTCAAATGTCTCTTTGCAAATCGAGATTTCCTCTAAAAGCTTGTCAGTTCTGCTTGATATAGTACAGGTCAACTGTACACCTGCCCCCAATTAGGCTACCAGATTTTGCGGCCGTCCTGGTGCTCAGCTGTAATTGCAAATCGAGATTTCCTCTAAAAGCTTGTCAGTTCTGCTTGATATAGTACAGGTCAACTGTACACCTACCATTTTGAAGTGATTAGACAAAATAACATGTTTTGAACCATATCTGAAATCTGAAAAACACTGCCTTCGTACAGAGTATATGATGGTAAAGACATCAATGCATGTCTCAAATGAATGTCTGTCTAACTCAGATGCCTTTATCTGGTTGGTTTTATCCTTCGCAGCCAATAATATGTGGTTCAGTGAGTGGTGGAAGGACCACTTAAATGAACGAAATTAATTTAGAAATGCTCAGTTTTTCATTTTATCTTTCCATCTCTACTTTGAAGTAATCATTTAGTCATTAAATATTTGCTTGGTTATCTAAAGTTTACTAGAATTCATTGTAGATCATTAGATATGACAATTGTGCCTTGAAAGTCTGTATGAAACCAATTTCCTTATAAAGTAAAAAGGGAAATTAAAAAGTGAGAGAATGACAAAGTTGTCCTACACAAATACTAAAACCTGACAGGTTAGTGACAGGTGTAGCACTGTTGTCTACTCATACAATACACAGTGATAAATGTACTTTAAATGTCTGAACCTGTTTTATGATCAGTCATAATATCTAAAACATTCCTGTCAAGCACACATTCTTCGCACATGTTTAATATCAGAAGCCGGTTTGGTATGAAAAGACTAAGCACGAGGGTTGTCTTAACAACCAACAATGCGTGTGCATGTTTCTCTGGCATTAGAGAGGTACACAAGTGTGCATGTTGAATGAAGCGCCCTGTAGTACAACACAGGCACAACACTAGGCAGTGTGCTGGGAATGGGTCAAGAACACGACCTCACTGGCAGTGTTATGTTAAGCATTCCCTAGCTTGAAGCCAGCTGTAGCTGTCCTCTCCCTAGGGACATCTCCATCGTTCCCAGCACATGAACCAAACACTAGAATAAATGCAGCAACAGCATAACACAAAGCTGTTTTTTTTTTTAGTACAACACAGGCACAACACTAGGCAGTGTGCTGGGAATGGGTCAAGAACACGACCTCACTGGCAGTGTTATGTTAAGCATTCCCTAGCTTGAAGCCAGCTGTAGCTGTCCTCTCCCTAGGGACATCTCCATCGTTCCCAGCACATAAACCAAACACTAGAATAAATGCAGCAACAGCATAACACAAAGCTGTTTTTTTTTTAATACTTCAGGTCTAATTTAACTTAAGAATCTTATATCAACCACACTATATTTAGCAGAAAACCAGTGAAGTTCACTCATCTTAAACTCTAAAACATCCCAAATGTTTGTTTTTATGGTTTGCTTCTGTCTTTCGTGATAAAAGACTAAATAAAACCCACAACATCATGTAAAGTCGAGCTCAGGAAATCTGAAAGACACTTGAGCTATCATGGGTGATCATCATGCAGCTGTGGTTAGGTTAGCCATGTATAACAGCTTACTAGTCACGTATGAGTCTCTAGCACTAGCAGTATTAGTCACTAGTTTGGATGGCGCCCAAAATAAAACTAGAGCTGGAGCTTTCCAATTAAAACATAATTATCCATTTTAAGGTGAATTCTAAGGTAAATTTAGTTAAGAAAATGCAGTCATACTAATATATATACACAATCCAATTAAATATATAAACCACATTATTGTAAATATATATAAGCATCTAAGTGTAGTATGCACACACATACCAAAACTCCATCATAATTCTAATCATAATGATGATATAACCAAACAAATAACTTATATAGAGAATAGTATATTGTATATTTTTGCTTTGTGTAATATTGTAATAAATGGCAACATTGTATGTAAACCCAAAAATGCCAACAAAGTACTTTAAATTGAAACTTACTAAAGAAAAGAAAAGAAAAGAAAAGAGCTGGCCACTGATGGATTAAAGTGGGCACGTACGCCACGATTCTCTGGCTGTGTCTTAAAACCCAGTGTGCTACCTACAAATACAGCACTTTAGGGCCTCACAGGCGCCACCACTGACACATAAAGATGCTGTCTACACAGGCAGCTCATTGTGCTATATAGACATAGCCAGAAAACGCGCCTACGATGCCCAAAAATGCTGTCTATGTAGGCAGCTTAATAGGGTTTTTAGACACAGCCTTTCTTTTTAAACAAACGAGTTCCCGGCTTTGACTGACTAACTACGATCAACACCTACCAGTTTTTAGGAAACTGTAGCACATTGTTATGTGCTCATCACAACTTCGTTACCCATGTGACGGCTCTCAACGTGTGGTATGGGCTTATTTTTGTTACTCAACTATTTTGTCAACTTTTTGGAGCTCGACATGAAGGCTCGCGAGGTTATGCGGCTAGTAACTGACTGACATTTAGAAAACTATTTCACTGAACTTACAGAAATACCATTACAGACAAATATTAAACACATAATATTTTGTTAAGGCGTATCTCCTGTGTTTTTGCATTTTGAGAAGAAAAAAATCGTTTTTCCCCTTACCTTTCCGCCCTCCATCACGTCTTGTCAAATGTTGGATGACGTCTCGACGTACGTTGACTCAGTTGAAACTTCGCCTTTTTCCCTCGTTTTTCCACAGAACTCAACTTTTAAATAAAATTAACGATAATAATAATAATAAAATAAATAAATAAATACAGCCTCGCCAAGTATGATGTAGCTTAAAAGGGAGACCGAGTAAATGCCTTTAGATGCCTCTTATGAACTACTTCTGACAGATCCGTCGTTCTTAAATAAGTTAATTTCTCCTCCTTTTTCTTATCTGGTCTATTTTAACAAAACCAAAGTTATCAGCTCGACCCGGTGAGTCTGAGATGCTGTCCGGGTTCGCCGGGTTAATATGTATGACGCAACGATGTCGGGACTGGGAATGTGATCTGTGATTGGCTCATCCGGAATGACGACACACAGAGCATAATGGCTGCGTAAGAGCGCGTGCAGAATCACACATCACGAGAATCAATCTTAAAAGACGTGTCCGTGTATTCTTTGATAATACTAACCATAGCGCACTTTTGTGTCGAGACGGTGATGACTTAGAATGCGTTTGGAGAAATGTAGCCTGTTTCTGTTCATATTTTAGTTTTTTTCACAAACAAGTGCATTTTCAAAACTCTTAATAGGCTACAAACTCCATCAGTGTTCACTAAGCCACGATTAAGCAGTATGAAAAGATGCTTTCATTACAGTTGTGTTTCTTTTCATAATAACAACAACATAACAGAATAGAATAATAGAACAGCATATAGAACAAAAATAATATGGCATAAGAATATTTAGCAAATGCATAGCCAAAACAGAACGAAAAGACCGTTTCGTTGTGAGAGATGCATAGAAATATTTAGATAATGCAGTGCATGATAGTGAATCTCTGATCCTTAAAAAATGTTTCAATTCAACAGTGTTTAAGGAAGTGTGTGAGGAGAAAATCTTTCCAAGTAAAACTTTGCATAATCAAAATAGAAAGAAACGTTTCATGTCTTATTGCTTTGAAATACAATGAAAACAAAAGTAGGTATCCGGCGACAGAAAAGTCCAGAAAAAAAGAATGGACAGAATTGGAAAAAACCAACTAATATACGCACAAATTGCTAATTATTGCCGTTATAAATGTACCAGATTTGTTGCAATATTTTATAATAGCTTAACTTTATTTCTTAAACTTATTTACATAGTAAAATACATAACATATTTAAAAAAAAAAAAAAGATTCTAAAGATGTTAAATAAATACTGATCCCATATCCACTCTATTGTAAATTAAAGATGTTGGCCAATAAATATGGGCTTGTTTTTCCTGAGCTGAATCAGAAAGAGCTTTATTGCCAGGTATGTTTACACATATGAGGAATTTGATTTGGTGACAGAGTCATACCCAGAACAAACAGAATAACAGTGACAAGATACAGATAATAAAAAAAATAGAAATAGGAAATAGCAATATACAACAATTTTTTTTAAAGAACACAATATACAAAATAGACAATAGTACACCTTTATTTATTATTATTATTATTTTTAAAAGTACATTTAAAACAGAGAAAGTCTTAAGAGATATACAAGCATATGTGGCAGAATCACTTATGCAAAGACATCATATCCTGCCAAGAGAGGAAATGGGAGTCCAGGTAACTATTTGGGCTGCATGATCTGCCATTCAGGACCCTTTGTACTAGATCAGTGATTAAACCACCAGACTTGCAGTCAAACTGAACAAGTGTTTGTAGAGAAGCTCAAAGAGCGATTATGTCTCACTTCTACAGACAATTCCTTTTGGATCGTGGGAAAGTGAGAGATGAGAGGGGGTAATACGCAACAACTCATTACGACAGAGGTTTTGTTTGAGTTGGTGGGGAAGTATCTGCTTATCGCACAAGCAAAATAATCGACCTGCAAGAGCAGGAAATAACGCATTGGCACAATAATCAAAACTACACACAAATGAGAAAAAACTGACACAAGCTAAGACTGCGCACCTTTTGTTTCATTGTTAAATTTGTTTGATATGCTAAGAAAAACAAAAACAGACATTTCTGAACAATCAATGATGGATGTTCTAAACCTGGGAGACAGAAAAGAAAATAATAAAATAAGCGTGTCAGTCCAGGATGTTCGTCAGCTCTGGTGGGGAAGTATCTGCTTATCGCACAAGCAAAATAATCGACCTGCAAGAGCAGGAAATAACGCATTGGCACAATAATCAAAACTACACACAAATGAGAAAAAACTGACACAAGCTAAGACTGCGCACCTTTTGTTTCATTGTTAAATTTGTTTGATATGCTAAGAAAAACAAAAACAGACATTTCTGAACAATCAATGATGGATGTTCTAAACCTGGGAGACAGAAAAGAAAATAATAAAATAAGCGTGTCAGTCCAGGATGTTCGTCAGCTCAAGCCTTTAGAAGAGCGTCAAAGAAGTGGATCAAGCACTGAAACAATACAAAGCAGGAATATGCTAAAATTAAAAGATTAATGAGAATATACTCTGTTAAATAAGATTCATGGAATTGCTGGAAGTTTAACATAAACACTACAATGCTACTATTACTACTGAAATTTGAATAATATAAATAACATTAAGAAAATAATACACAAAAATTTATATGTAATTATATTATAATTAAAAATTATTTACAATGTATTATTTATTATAATAAATGTATAGTCTATTATTATTATAAAATAATATAGATTTATATAACAATTATATAAAACTACATATTTTTATTGATATCATTTATATTATAAAAAAATTTATTTGCATACATACTTTAAATCAAAATATATAAAGCTAAGCATTTCTTAAATGGCATGGTGACACTTAATATTGACATTTTTAGAAATAACATTTTATGTTAGTCATTTTTTTTGTATTGTTCCTTAAATCTGTTCCTGCTTGGATTTCCCTTTGCAGGCAGCATGCAGTGATGTGTTAGCCTCATTCAGAAATACTGCCTAGTCAATCTGTCGAAGGCAGAACAAGCAGCCATACACTCTCTTGGCAGGGTTTGTGGACTGCTGCACGTAAGGGGCTAACTAATGTGCTCTTTTGTTGTGCTAATGTGCTTAGGCGGCATCTACACTCATTCCATAGTGCATATCAATCGCACCAACCAGCAACCATGTACTTCATTCACTACAAGGAACTCTGGTTAGCAGTAAGCGGTGAATTTCTGGGAATTTTAACACTGTACTATATGTTTATCTTCGTGAGTAAATAATAGTAAGTACCTCAATTGTACGACAACCTTGCCTCACATTTCTTTCTCCTTGTCAAACAACAGGCACGGCAATCTCAGACTGTTTTCAAAACACAAAAGCTGCTCATGAGGGTGATATAACTTCATATTTTATATAATAAACATGACCTGTGGATCAGCTGACAACTAAATGTTTCCATACACATCTGCAGGTCTGGATGGAGAAGGCTTAGTATGGATACTGCATGATAAACACTTTCACTAAGGCCACGTGTTTAATATAAATCCCTTCTGACATGTTGCCGGTACTGAGTCAAAGCGTCAGTGTCTGGGTGATTAGAAATGATACTATAAAGGACACTACCAGGAGGTCATTTGAAACCGGTAAACTTCTGGAAAGTTCAAGGATCCAGTAAGAGAATGCATTAGTAATAAGTAATAAGTTATATTTACAGCGCTAATGCAGAGAAAACATGGATGACTTCATCAGAGATGGCGGAGAGAAGTGACTCGCGTCCAGATGGCAGTAAATTATTATTTTCAGTGTGTATTTGGCTTAAAAGCACGAGTGTTTTATAATGAATGCCGGCTGAAGGTGTTTAAGATTATGTGCTGGTCAGTGGTTTAGGTATTCTGAATGGATCCGTATAGTAGCATGTACAGTCAGGTTAAGGCAGCAGGTTTAGTGGTCTTTTGGCGTCTCCCTGCGGTCCTGTTTGGTATTGCAGCTTAACTGGTGCTTTTTTATATTAAAAATGCTCTAAACAAATTTCTTTCTTTCTTTCTTTCGACATTATATACATACATTTGGAATTATGAAAAAAAAAAAATTTGGAGGGGGATGGAGGGGTACCGGCACTTCTTTTTTTCCACTTCAAGCACTGCCTATGACATTTTAGCACCAGAACAGTTGAAGCAAGGGCTTTCATAGCTGTGAAATCTGATATATTGGTTGCAGAACTGACAAGCCTGCTACAACAGCACTGAAACGCCCAATGCCCTCTCTGCCAGTTTTGCCCTGCTGAGTCACTGCCCCCATTTAGGCCAGTTGGAGGAGGCCCGGCAAGTCTCATGGGTTTGTTAATAGCACCACTGTAGGGCATTGTTTAATTCAGCACCTCAGCAGATTTATAAAGACTTCAGCAATCAGTACCCTTTCTAAAAAGACAATGAAAGAACAGCTTAAAAACCTAACAAATGCTTTTTACATTTATTAAATCAGATATTAGTCTACATCAACTGCTACACACACTGTAAATTAATTATTTTTAGGGAGTACATTTTACAAGAAAATAATCTTTCATGTTTAATTCAGTGTTACTTGCCATTTCTTTGTAATTATTTGTGAAATTGACTTGCTGAATGAAAACTATTTCACCATCAACTTTTTTCAGTGTATATACATGCAATATTTTACCAAAAAGTGTAGTAGCAGCATTTTTACCCTCTAAATGAACAGATTATTAAATTGTAAACAAAAATTCCTAATGTTTATTTATTTGATTTCTAATATATTTTTTATTGTTTTGTAATATTTTTTATGCATACAGATTCATTTAGTATCATTGTCATGCACCAGAGGGTTAATTGCTGACATTATCTGCCAAAGGAATTAGTATATATTTTATTTGTATTAATACATTTTAACATTATAATAGTACTCTTTAATTCGTCACATAGTTCCATCAGTCTTTACGTCAGACATTTAGTCTCTATAAAAATAAAAATAAAAATCTTCATGCCATTAAAAGGTTAATTTTAAGACATCATTAATGAAATGCTTCTAAAAAGCTTAAAACATGCATCACACATAAAGATTTCATTCTACATGTGTGCAACAAAAGTATCGGGTCACAATGGTCCACAAAGATGTTAGACCTCTAAGCCTATTGCAAGTTGAATAGAGGATTTAGAAGTAGTTACTTGAAATATGCCAATTACATAATCAGATCAACGTGGTGGAATCTGAAGAGATAACATTTTAACAAAGTAGTATTTGTGTCTAATCTTGGTCATTATATTCCTTTCATTCAACTTTGTGCAAAATTCATATGGTCACCGAATCAAATAGATAAAGTGTATAGCATAAATACAAGTTTAGTGCTAATCTCTATGTATAGTA